GCTGCTGCACCTCCCGGTGTAGTTATTGCAGGCTGCCCTCATGGCTCTGCAGGAACAGGACCTGTCTCTCCCCAAGGAGCACCTCCTCTCCTCTCTCCATGTGCTGCTTATGAAGCACAGTCCCTCCCACCCTCCCCTTCACATGGTGCATCGCCTCGTCTTGCACCAAGGCACCAGTTCTAACTGGATCATCATGGAGTAGTGGGATGACCAACCATGGCTTCAGAACTTCTGCATGCGGAAAGACACCTTTCTGGAGCTCTACAAGTGGCTCACTCCTGCCCTCAGGTGAGACCATATGAGACCTGCCATTCCCCTCTAGAAGTGGGTCATCATTGCTATTTGGAAGCTCACCATGCTGGACAGCTACTGCTCCGTTAGGAACCATTTCGGCATGGGGGATTGACCATAGGGATGGCATGGGGGATTGACCATAGGGTCATGCAGTTATGACTCTCTCGTGTTATTGTCCCAGGATGGCAGTGAACTGCTAGAATGGAGTTCCGTAAGGAAGGTGGGAGGGATGGAAGCTCCCTCCCTGGAATGTTTTTCAGCCCAGCCTTCATAAAGCCCTGCGGGGGGATGGGGCAAGCTATGGTTGGTCCTGATGTGTGGGAAGGGGAGGGGGTTGGCTTCTTATTCCAATGGCTAAAGAAGCCCTACAAGGGACTCTTTGACTCCACGAAGGAACGCTTCAACGCCAGGCTCAGCAGGGCCGGCATTGTTGTGATGGGTGTCTTTGGTCATCTCAAAGAGAGGTTCCACTGTCTCCTCACCCGGCTGGACCTCAGCGAGCAGACCATTCCAAAGTGGTGTTGGCTTGCTGTGTCCTGCACAGCCTGTGCAAGAACAAGGGGGAGACCTTGAAGAAAGAATTTCAGACCAGGCTAGCTGTAACACTCTCCCCTGGGCTTCCTCACAAGGGGCCTCTGCATTGCCCCTGTGTGCCTTTCCTCCTCCAACCCTCCCTTCCCCTACCCTCACTTCCCACCTTCCTCTCCTCCTACTCCACGCTCCTGAAGATACAATATACCAGATGTTTTGTTTTGGAACAAGAAACTGTTTTTTTATTCAGGATAAATATAATTGGGGAGGGACTGGGGAAAGAACCCAGGAGGGGGAAGGTGGTAGGGGGAAGGGTAAAGAGGACAGAGGAGAGGCTCAGGGCTGTTTGGACTGGTGCCTGCCTCAAGCGGTCCCACTGTCTCATATGCAGGGCTCTTAGTGGCTGGTGGGAGGCTAGGAGGAGAAGCCAGAGGGGTGGGAGGAGGACCGAGTACAGGGGTGTGTGTGGCTGCTGGACTGCTCAATCGCGGTGACCATGTGGTTGGCGACAGCACTGTTTACCGCACACGTGCTCCAGGTCTTCTGGGACAGCTCCTGCTAGGTGGTGCAGTTTAGCTCCCAATCAGCATGGTGCTTCTCCAGCTCCGTGTCCAACCTTTGCTCCTGTTGGTCCAGAGGGGTCCAACTGCTGGAGGGAATGGAAGCAGGCTATGTGCTCCTGCTGGAGGTCCTTGCGGGGTCAGTGGTGCCTGCAAGTCTCGCAGAGTCAGGAGGCTGGTGCAGGAGATGTGGCTCACTTCGCACTTGCAGCTGGTCCAGCTGCAAAGAACAAAGAGAAGGAAAGTCATCCCTGGAGCCAGGGTGCAAGAAGCCCTCATCCCTGAGCCAACACCAAAAAGTCTTGAGTCAGACAAAGGCAATGTGTTTTGATCAAGGCCATCTGAGGCCTGGACAATGGGCCCTTTTCTGCAGGGGCACAGATGTCCCAGTGGGGAACCTTACTACACCTTTGCCCTGGGGACAAGCAGACATAGGAAGGTGTCAATCAGGCTGGGAGCCTGCAGGCAGAAGGGAGTCGACAGGGTGGTTTGCCTTCCCTCAGGGCCTTGCACCAGTTCTGGCAGTGGCAGCATCCCACATGGAAGGGGCTTGTATCCCTGCCCTCTGGATGGGGGAAGGTGTTGGAGGAGGTGTCTGTGAGTGACACATGCCACTTGGCAGGGAAGGTGCTGCTGGGGTCCCCTCCACTTCCTTCTCCTTCCAGGAGGCTCCACCAGTGTCCTCTGCCTCGCCATGCTGGTCTGGGAGTGTGGGCATGCCTGTGTGTGGCACTGCTGTGTGTGTGTCCATGACCCTGTCCTCCTTAGTGGTGGCTTGTAGTGGGAAGGTGTCCCACCACGGGGTGGGGAGTAAGGCAGGTCAGTGCAGGAACCCTGTGCAACATTTCTCATTGTGGCTGTGTGCTCCGGACTGGTGCTCCATGTGCACAGGCTGTTGTGAAGCTCCAGGCTGAGCAAAGAGCTCACAGCCCTTCACTGCCTGCCACCTACCCCTGCATGTGTCTAGGGAAAGTAATGGAATTCACCTGATGGGCATTCTCCGGCTACATTCAACTCCTGGGACACATTCTGGGAGGTGAGGGGATGACTCCAGGGACAGGCTGAACTCCTGGCTGGCAGGCATGATGTTGGTGCTGGCCTCCTTGTCTTCCTCCTGCTCCTCTTCCTCAGCCACGTTCTCTGGGAGGCTGACGACAGGACCCAGAGTCCATAACAAGTGGGGGAAGGGACTGACACCCCCCCCCGGATGTGGTGGAGCTGGTTGAAAAACTGGCAGGAGAGGGGGTGCTGCCCCTGAGTGAGAAGCACTCCCTGGCCTTGGTATAGGCCTGCCTCAGCTCCTTCACCTGCTCCTGGGTGTGGCTGTGTCCCTTCTGGTCCAGGCTGTTAGTCATCTGGCCGTATATGTCTGTGTTCCTCTGATTGATGTGGAGATCCTGGAGGTTTGCCTCCTCTCCCCAGATCTCAATGAGATTCAGGATCTCCGCACCATACACAGGATGGCACACTCCCCTTTTGCCCCAGGGCAGGGACTTTAGAGCTGGCTGCCGGCTCCCTTGCAGCTAAGGAGGGCTCGGTAGGAGCATGGGGGTCACTCATGGTGGCGGGGAAGACAGTGAAGGCTGCTGGTGTCCCTTCCCCCAGCAGCCACAGGGCTTTTTTTGTGCCACAAGCCCTTTCCCCTGAGGCTACACCTTTAAAGGCTGCAGGAGAAGGGGAATTATAGAGTTCTGTTGAGTGTGGACAGAGTGACTACCTGGACACCTGTGAGAATCCCTGGAGGCCACTTATTCCGAAATAACCACAGCTGCACTGTCTGCACCCACCCTCTTACGAAACAACTATTTTGAAATAAATGTTATTCCTTGTGAAATGAGGGTTATAGAATTCAGAATAAGAAGCCTGTTATTTTGAAATAATTTCAAAATAACAGGTTTGCTGTGTAGATACTCACTTTGTTATTAGGCTTACCGGTTAGGTAACAGGTTAACTGGGCCGAGTGGCAGTGACCCCGGACAGGGTAGCTGGTGGGACTCTGGCAGCACTGGTGCAGTAGCCTCAGGAGTTCTGGAAGCTCCAGTTCCACACCCCAGATGGAGGCAGGCAGGACCCTAGCCCATAGCTGTTCAAGCTCAGCTGGGCTGAAGCACCCCCCACTTCCCCCCCACCCATAGTGCAGGGAGCCCTCCAGCCTGGCCAAGCCCACTGTGCTGCACCATGAGTGGGAGGGTGGGGGGGGAAGTGGGGGTGCTTCAGCCCAGCTGAACTGGAGCAGCTCCTGCCCACGGGATAATGGTTAACCTGTTAAACATTTCATTTAACCAGTTAATTGAGTAACCAAAATCCCTATTTTACATTACTAAAATTGAAAGGAAATTGTATAAAATCACATTTAAATTTCACTAGTTGTATTTTTTATTTTTCCTTTTTATTTTGTCAATAAACAACAGGATGATCAGTTCTTATGTGCTAACACTATTAATTATTATTTACAGTGGTTGTCATTAAAATGTCTGTATTTTTCAGGAGATACTTATTACTTAAGACTATTTTGTCTTTCGTCTAATTTTTCCTACTTAGTTTTGTTTGTATGCTTTCTTAGAGAGATGTTCAAATAAGTTCACAGATGAGGACTGAACCCTGGTAGTGAATTTAAAGGATATTACAATTAAATCATACAAATTGCTTTTTAAAAGTTTGAAATGCTGACAAAGAGATTGCTTTATAAGAACATGTTATGGGCCCTCAAACCTGCAAACACTTAATACATGTGCTTCATTTACTATCAAATATGGTTCCCAATGCAGTCAATAAATGCTCTTAGTAAAAAAGCTCAACACATGCAGACTCAGGAGCTAAGGTAAGGGGTTAGAAATACTACAGTGATGCAGCTGTACCAACATATCTATGCCACTGTAGCACTGGTGGTGCAGACACTTTATGCCAACAGGAGAGAGCTCTCTTATCAACATAATTGCATCACCTGTAGAAACAGTCCTGCCTAAATATCACTGCCCACACCAGTACTTGGGTTGATATAATTCACATCACCCAAGGGTGTGTCTTTTCCATATCACTGACCAGCTTAAGTTATATCAAAGTGAGCATTGATGTGTACCAGATTGACACAAATTTCTTTTCTATATGGATGAAAACAGACCTGCACTGAAAGATGCAGTCTATTACTGAAGAGGTACTGGTGGAAGGAAGGAAGTGGTTTAGCTCTCTAGGTATCTACACTGTAAAATCTTTGCTTGTTCTGTCCTCATTGTGTGCAGATCTTATGAATAGTTTTGTATAAATGTTTTAAATCATTAAAGTTAAAATATTATTTTACTTGTGAAACAGTATGTTAATACGGCATTAACTTTTTTAAAGAAAGTAAATCTATGTTGTTGATGGAAGGCTTTGGGCCTAGTGTCTCTGACTTTCACAGATCAGTCAAGTTGCTATTTGTTAACCGGTTCAACCTGAAAGGTAACTTCAATGTGAATAATGTCCGAGTCACTTGTTAGCCTTCCTCTCCCAGCCCATGCTACAGCTGCAAACTTTATTGAGGCATGAAAGCCTCTTTTCTGGCAGGGGTGTCTCCCCTGCTCAAGGCACTTGCCGGGTTAGAACCCACCCAGCCGCATGGGTAGGAGGACGTTCGCGGTTTTGGGATGGCCCATGGCCATGACCTCTTTCTGGCCCAGGCTCTGGAGAACCGGTCGGGCAGCGGGACCTGGGGAGCCGCCGCCCCCAGGCTTCGATCGCTGCCACAGAGCTGGATGTTTTCAGCTCCGGAAATGATGAAAAAAAGAAGCGGGAGGAGGTGTGGGGGGAGGACGAAAGAAGTCCCCGCTTTGGCGTGTGCTGGCTGGAGAGGGCGAGATCCCGCGCAGCAGCGGGGCGGGCTGCCAGGGGATACAGCCGTAGAGCCCGGGGGCTGTACAGGAGGAGGCGGCAGCAGCCGTAGCTGCAGAAAGGAGGCGGCCGCGCCGGCAGCGGAGATGCTGTTTCTGCTGCTTGGGGAGCCTCAGTAAGTTTCCCGTGTCTGGCAGGGGGCGGACACCCTGTGGTGGGGGGAGGGCAGCGTGCGAGGGCCGAGCAGCCAGGGTAGGGCGGGTGGCTTGTGCTGGTCCCCCCCCCAGAGCGCCGGGGCTCTGCTCAATGAGTTTCCATGCAGCAGTTTGTGCCTAGGCAACCAAAGGCGCCCTCCGCACGCCTGGGGAGGAGGGGCGCGCCTGCTGAGCGGTTGCAAAGTTGTTGCTTCTGTGAATCTGCCCTGCCCCTCCCCAAGCCCTGGCCCCGGGGCCGGGAGCGTGTGGCGTGCAGTGCGCTCTAAAGGCCCGTCGCTTGTTTGTCCCTTCAGGGTGCTGTGTTAGGTTGGTCGGGGGTGGAAGCTCCTGGGTCGTGGGGTGAGCGAAGGCAGATGTCCCAAGCGAGAGAGCTTCTTCCTCCGGGGCCTGAAGGGCCGGCGCCTGCAGCTCCGAGTGAACTCGGCTTTCTGCGCTCGCTCCTTCGAGGTGAGTTGCTTTAAAGTTTTTGTCCAGTTGTTGCGCCTGTTACTGTGTGTGGAGTGGGAGTGGGGTTGGCCCTGGTCTTTGGGATCCCTCTCGACTGTGCTTGTTACTGAAAAATGTGGCTCTGTACAGAGAACAGGGGAAAAAAGTAGGTGGGTCTCACCAGGCAAGTTCCTTCTTACAGAAACGGAGGGCCTTCAGCAAGACACATGATACGCCTTGAACGTTGCCTTCCTTTCCCTCCCAGCCTTGCGTTTGTAAGCATTTCTCTGTAATGCCTCTGTTTCCCAAGGTGTCCCCCTGGCAGACTAAGGTAGGGTTGCCAGGTGTCCAGTATTGTACTGGACAGTCCGGTATTTACGCTCTCTGTCCAGTAAAAAAAAAATCTGACAATACTGGACACGTGCAATGTCCGGTACTTTCTGATTTTTCTGGCTGCGCACCAGATGAAAGCCTGGCGTGGGCCGGGGGAGCAGCTGGGAGTCCCAGCTGGGAGGCGGGGCCGCGATTGCCGCTGGGAGCCCTAGGTTGAGTGTGAGGGGGAGGGGTAGCTTCCTCCTCGTTTGTGTGTCACTGGGACCCTGCGTGGGACAGGCAGTGCCCCGGGATCTGCAAGTGCTGGGGTCAGTCCTGCTCCCTGCCGGCCGAGTTGCTCACCCCCCTCCCCCAGCTCTGCTTCCTGCCCCCCCTTCCTCCTGGCCAGCCCCGTGGCCCCCGACCCCACCCCCTGCTCTGCTTCCCTCCTCCTGGCCAGCCCCTCCCCCGCCCACGATCAAGTGTGTCTGTTTTTTTGGAGGGGGTCTACCTGGTAACCCTAGACTAAGGCAGCAGGTCTGTGACCATGACTTCTTCCAGTTGTAGGTCACTTGTTTTCCTTTTGAGGCTACCCTGAGATGCTGCTAAACCCAGTTGGTGCTTTATTAACTTATTTTCAATCGCACTTGTCAGGGCTGCATACGATTTTTGTTTTCATCATGTTGCTCACAATTAAACCTGATATTATTTTTAGCTTCACGCCCAAATGAACTGATTTATTGAAACTTTGTCGTACACTAACGTTATCTTCTGAAGATAACATACAGGATGCAGTCATTTATTGTACATACTTATGGTCTGTGGCAATCAGGCTTTATCTCTGTCTTTTGCGGCTGGCAATTTTCACTTCAAGAATTCTGTTAGTGATACAAAATAAGTCTTCGAAGAATAGAAAGGAGGAATCTAATTTAAAATTGCTTCTGTTCCTAGGTATGTATAAAGTTACACAGCATGATAACGCAGTTGTACAACTGTATAAAAAAGCCACTTTCTCTTCTTTGGCAACATCTTTAAATCAATGCTACATGAAATCGAAGTTCAAGACTCAGTTGAGAAATCAGAAAGTATCCGTAGCTAAATAAAAATGTTCTGGCATTGAGAAATTGGCTTATACTGGTCTTATTGTTTTCTTGTCTTCAGAGTGACTCATAACTTCTAAACAGCAGAAGTTTAAAAAAAAAAAATTAGATACAGATCAGCCATGCAGAACTGAAGTTTCAGACCCATATTTTTACCAGAAGCATTAGTGTCTGTAATACATACCTATTGTCAACATACTTTTTTTGAGCATTAAGTGCCACCTTTATTGCATCATATAATCAAATGTCCACGCTGGTTAAACTTTACATGTAGGCCATACATAAAAAATTGTTGAAGTTTGGGCAGTGAAATAATTGATTTAGGAAAATGACTTTATTTTTAAGATATGTGGATTTTGAATTGGGATTTTTGTTTGAAATAAAATCATTTATCTTCTAAAGTATTAGGCTTTTTATTTAATGACCTGGGAAAAAACATAGCACTGATTTGGCCACAGGCAATCTATGTGTAAGAAGAAACTTGAATTACATCTATTATATATAACTATCATTTTAAAGGATTGCATAATCATATTCAGAAGAGTCAATGACTCACAGACTTTGTAAATACTTTTGTTTAGATTTGTTCACTACTTGTGGCCTGTCACACTGTGGGAGTGGTTCATGAGTATAAGTGCCAGCCTCAGGACAGACACCTGTAACTGGTTCTATAGTTAGATTTCACCGATCAGGAATTCACATTGTTACTGGAAGTTTTATGCCAATCTTTCCAGGAAATAAGTCAGTCCTCTTGGGCACTCCATTTTATCTTGCCACCTAGGCAAGCTGGATTGAATGATAAATGGGTCACTTATGCCAAAAATCACAAAATATTCAGGTTGCTCCTAGTCCCAAACCCCAGTGACCAGTCACATACCTGAGATCAATTTGTACCTTAGATCGCACACCAAAAGGTAATCAATCCTACAGTAAACTAACTCAGCCTATATTAACTACAAGAAGGAAAAAAAATTTGTACAGGTTAAACCATTACTCATCAAGGAGCTCTCCAGTTCACAGAGGGCATTTTTACAGTTATAATGCAAAAACTACATGTTACTTTAAAGCGTCGGATCCAGAGATTACAGCAGGATTAATGAATGCAGAAACTTACAACCAATTGAAAGGGTGTATTTACACTCTATAAACACTTACAGCTATTTCAATATTAACATACACATGAGCTGGTCTGGTTTTCAGCTATGAATTTATTAGTTCTCAGCTGACACCTCCACCTCGTCAAGAACTGGCAAGGTCTGCCGATGTCACAACCACTGCGAACTGAAAGGGACCTTGAGAAGTCATCAAGTCCAGTCCCCTGCACTCGTGGCAGGACCACGCACCGTCTAGATCAGTGGTTCCCCAACTTTTTGGCATCATGCCCCCTTTATGATTTTTGAGAAATGCTCATGCCCCTTCCCCCTCTGTCCCTTCCCCCCCCCCATAACAGCAAAACTTGTTGATCAAAAAAAAGGGGGGGGGGACTGACTGGGGCTGAAAACAAAAATAGCAGCAAAACTTAGTGTGCTGGGATTTAAGGGGGGGCTGGGTCACCTCGTGCCCCCCCGGAACTTCTCTCCGCCTCCCTCCGGGGGCACGCCCCCCCAGTTTGGGAACCCATGGTCTAGCTCATCCCTGACAGAAGTTTGTCTAATCTGTTCTTAAAAATTTCCAATGATGACCTCCTTAGTCAGTTTATTCCAGTGCTTAAACACCTGGAGAGTTAGGAAGTTTTTTCTAATGTCCAACCTAAACCTCCCTTACTGCAATTTAAGCCCATTGCTTCTTGTCCTGTTATCAGAGATTAAGGAGAATAATGTTTTCCCTTGTCCTTACAACGACTTTTTATTAAGCTGTCCCCTCTTAGTCTTCTCTTTTCCATACATTAGTTCTTTTAATCTTCCCTCATAGGTTATATTTTTTAGACCTTTAATCTGGACCTCTGGACCTTCTCCAATTTGTTGACATCTTTCCTGAAATGTGTTGTCCAGAACTGGACAGAGTAGTCCAGTTGAGGCCTAATTAGCAGAGAATACAGCCGGTCCCCGACTTACGAACGAGTTACGTACCACACACTAGGTTGTAACTCGATCTGCTCGTAAGTCGGATTACGTTCACTTACATTAAGGCCGCGCTGTTCGTAAGTGCGGCTTTTGTTCGTAACTTGCATTCCGGCTGTATAGGAGGTTGGTCGCAAATACGAACGGTCATAAGTCGATGCGTTCGTAACTCGGGGACCGGCTGTAGTGCAGAAGCATTACAAATATCTACAGAAGAGTATTGAAACAGACGTAGAGACAAATTCTAAAAATGCATCATCTTTCCCTGTAAAATATATTTCCATCCAAATGTAAAATTAGATTAATTTAGTGTATGAAGAAAGAATTAATGTGCAGTGCCTCAAGAAAGCACTTAAGCGCATCATTAACTTCAAGCATGTGTTCAAAATCCCATTGACATTGCATGCTTCAGTTCTTATGTGCATAGGGATGCTTTCCTGAATCCTGGGGCCATAAGAAAATACTGCATCCAGGTTGGACTTGGACTCAAGTAATCCTGCTTCATTGGGATTTCTAGAAATTCTTAAGCTTCCAGCTAACTACTTCAGTTGCTATAATAGAACTTTACTACAGTCTGAAACTCTGTTAACTGGGATTCTCTGGTCCGGCAACATCCATGGTCTGGCACTGATGCTGCTGGACCAGAAAGACCCGGTGGAGGGCCTGTGGGGCTGTCCCCGTGTATGGCAGTGGAGCTGCCCAGCGGTGTTGGGAGACCCAGCGTGAGGCTCCCCGGTTGGGCTGGGAGCTGTGGTAGCTTGGTGGGGCTGGGAGCCGCAACGTGCGGCTGCCTTGCAGGACCCAGAGCCACAGTGTGAGTGACCCGCCCCTGCTCTGGCCAAATCCTTCATCTTGGACCAGTCAGGTTGCAAGGGTGCAGGACCAGGAAGGTCCAACCTGTACCAGTTTTTGTATGGTTTTTTTTTTTTTCCAACTGTTGGGCAATTTCATTTTTTTTCTCTAACTTTTTGAAAACTTATACTTTGTTTCCAAATATAAATTATCTGGCTTATTCTTTTAGTGAAATTGGTTTACTTCATAATTGTCAGTGTTGGTTCTCTAAAATGGCACCAAATGAAAAAACAGAAACTTTCATAAATGCCTAACTAGTTTTTGCTGTAAACCTACTTCTGCTTTCAGTTTCATATGCATAGTTCCAGTGAAATGATTCATGTCCACAGTGCTGCAATACATCTGTAAAGCTCTGCAGATAATACTAAATTGGGAGCAGTTGCAAGTGCTAAGGAAAATAGAATTAAAATTCAGAATAATCTGGACAAACTAGAGAAATGGTCTAATGTAAATACGGGTGAAATTCAATAAGAACAAATGCCATGTACTCCAATTAGGAAAAAATAATCAGTTGCACACATACAACATGGGAAATAACTGCTTAGGAATGAGTACTGCCAAAGAGGATCTAGGGTCATAGTGAATCCCAATATGATAAATATGAACAAACTGTTGCCAAAAAGCAAGCATCATTCTGGTTGTATTAGCAGGAGTGTTATAAATAAGACATGTGAAGTAATTCTGCTATATGCTTATT